CAGCTGCAGACACCCAGAGAACAGACCGTGTGTCTTTTGTGAAGGGCATTTAGCAGGCCCCAGCTGTGTTAAGAGCCACGGAGACTCTGGGACTGTTTGTCATAGCAGCACAACATAGCTCTTCCTGACTGATACTCCGGTTGACCTATAACCACTAGCTCTCTTGTCCTGATCCTGCCTTCTCTGGCAGTGACCTCCAGGGGTAAAAGGCCTGGGTGGGCCCTTGCTCTGTTCCTGGACCAGGTCCACACCTGTCTCCCAGGGCCACTGGCTTTCTGACGCTGTTGTCTCTGTGAGCCTTGTTCTGCTTACCCAAGGAGTGCAAACCCCATTCTGCAACTCCAGATTCTTGCGGGGATGGACAGCACAATCTCGTGCCGGCACAGGGGAGGGCCACCCTGCCCTTGGGTGTTTACAGCCACAGGTCGGGTAATCACGCCTGGCACAAGGACACCCACCTCTGGGATGGCTCACATCCTCTCCTGGGGATCCCCACTGAGTCACTGAGAGGTGAGGGGCACAGACAAGGTGGTGAGCCCCAGAGCTTGGGGAGCATGGGCTGCGGCTCCGCCTTGCAGCTCTTTCTGCTGAGTGCTCACGCTGTGCGCAGGCAGCGGGGCCTCCCTCCTCCTGCCAGTGGCCTTCTCTGGGGTGGGGCTGGATGATGTATGGATGTATGGGGTGGAGCACATACCCCTGTTCCAGCTCTCCTCCACACTCTTGAGCACCCTGCAGGGTCTGGGGTGCCTCATGGAGAGTGGCTGTGCCCGAGGGGAGGCGTGTGCTGGATTGTCCTCAGTGTGACCAGCTAGTGACTCAGTCATTTTAGATCATTACGTTGTACTTGATCATAGAAATGACTCCCTGACAGCTTAGGGACAGTGTGGTCAGCGCCCCTCCCCCGCCCTATCAGCAGCACAGTAGCCAGGAAGGTGGCAGGGGTTTGTCGCACGGGTCTGACTCCTGGCTTCCCCCGCCGTGGCCAATGCTTCAGTCATCTGGGGTGAAGAGTGATCTTAAGTGGCGCTCACAGGCTGCTGGGGAGGTGGCCGATGGGGACACCAGGCTACATAGAGACCTGGAGGGACTTGGGAAGCGTGGCCCCTCAGCTCCAGAGAAGCGGCTCTGCTGACGGGTGTCAGCGGCCGCCGTGTGTGGTGGCCCAGGCTGAGCACTGCGCAAGGACCCACTCTTCACAGACATCCATCATGGGGTCTGAAGTGGGGAGCAGCGGCTGGGGGAGGAAGAGAGGCCTAGCTCTGTGACATCAGACACAGACACGCTGTGGCTCCTGGGTCCACCCATGGCTGCATCTCTGGGGACCCCACCTGCCTGCTGGCTCCTTTCCATGTCCCCTGCTGTCCTGAGCTGCCGAGTTAGTGGTATAAGACTAGGTCCTGGGGTGAGCAGTGACCCCCAAGTTCACACCCACAAACCTCAGAATGTGGTAAACACACAGCTTTCACGGTCAGCTGCTTAAGATGAGGCCGTGTCAGAGGATGCCAGGCACGGACCCAGCGGCTGGCAGGGCACAGAGACCTGGTGACATGGTCACAAACCCTGCCCCGGAGCCTCAGGCGGCCTGTGACTTCAACTCACAATGTTCCTGTTTTAAATCACTAAGCTGACTGCTTTTCACCCTTGTGTTGGAGCCCACTAGGTTTCCTAGTGCGGTACCCCGCAGGGCTGCACAGGAGGCTGACTGGACCCCGGGCCTGGGCACCAGGTGACTGTAACTAGCAAGGGGGAGGGCTTTGGCTCCACCCCTTGGCATTGCTATAAACAGACCTTTGGAATAAAGTTCTAGGCCTGTGGCTAAGGATCCAGGCCCACCCGAGTCTGTCCTGTGTTTTCTCTCTGTTTCTCTTCCTCTCTATTTCTAAGTCTCTTATCCCTCATTCCTCAAGAGTCTCTGGGGTAAATAATGGGGGCCGGTCCCCCACAGCCCTGGGAGACTCTTATCTAGACAGATGCCCTAGGAGGCAGCTTGTTCCTGGCCCCTCCTTCCCTGGGGCACCTCACGGTGCAGGCCTGTGGGCTTGCTCCTCTGCTAGTGCTGTGGAATATCACTTTAACTATGTCAAGATGTGTTACATTTGTTTCTGCTGTGGAATATTACTTTAACTATGTCAAGATGTGTTACTGCTGTGGAATATTACTTTAACTATGTCAAGATGTGTTACATTTGTTTCTGCTGTGGAATATCACTTTAACTATGTCAAGATGTGTTACATTTGTTTCTGCTGTGGAATATTGATTTAACTGGGCAAATATGTGTCACATTTGTTTCTGCCGTATTTGTTTAAGATGTAAGATGTGTTACTGTTTCACCTCGCCTGCCTAAGACACCTGATTGGTCTAATAAAAAGCTGAATGGCCAACAGCTCGGCAGAGGAGGGATAGGTGGGGCGGGCGGGCAGAGAGAATAAGTAGGAGGAGGAATCTAGGAATGAGAGAGAGAAGGAGAGAGAAAGAGGAGAGAGAAAGAGAGGGCAATGCTTGGGGCCAGGCGGCAGCCAGACAAGAGGAAACAGGAAAAGATAAACAGAATGAAAGAAAGGTAAAAAGCCCGAGGCAAAATGCAGATGAGCTAGCAAGAAACCAGTCTAAGCTAAGGTGGAGCGAGCGTTCATAACTAAGTCTCTGTGTCATGATTTGGGAGCTCGTTGTGGCCCAGAAGAAAGCCCGCCACACAGAGGCCTTCAGTCTCCCCACTCACACCCCAGTGCCGTCTCAGCTGAGACTCTGTCCACTTTCTTGCTCGAGCTCCTCACCAAGTGATCAGCAACCTCCCAGAACCACTGGTCTCCCAGCCGTTGTGCCTGTCCGACCGACCGTACCCCGGCCCCATCAGCTCGTCCTGCTCCACCCCTCCCTTCCTGGCCATCGTCTGGGGGTCCCGGGCCCTCTGCCCCTGGTGCGGAGGTGTCTGCTTGGCTCAGATCCACCCTGCTCTGCCCCTGGTGCAGAGGTGTCTGCTTGGCTCAGATCCACCTTGCTCTGCCCGACTTGTTGCAGCTTCTCTGGGACTCCAGGAGAGAACCAGCAGGAACGCGCCCTGGACTTTCACTCCCTCGGGGAAGCCGGGGTCACTGCTGCCCAACACCTTCTGAGCCCTCCTCCACGCACCCTTTGGAAAGCCACTTCCCTGCTGAGACCCAGACACCAGCTCACCCACTCTCTCACTCTGGTTGATGACGCCTACTGATCAACTTCCCCCATCCACTGCACTGAAGTGCCCCTCACTCATCTTCCCCACCGGGGCACAGAGCAACTGCCGAGCTCCAGGCCTCCCTGCACGGCTCACGCCGGGCTCTGGACCAGCCTGTGCCCTGCGGGTGCATCTCAGGACCATACTGCGGGGTGGGGTCTCAGCACACAGGTTGCCCGTCTCCGGGACAAGCACCGCAGCTATTTACGCTCTGACCGCAGGGATGGCTTCCTGACCTCCAAAACCCTGGGCTGCGGGGAGAAACCGAGCACAAGCTCAAAAGCAAAAAAACCCACTAACTAGGCCATCATCATCTGGACGCTCCAGCGAAGGTGGACTACAACTCCCAATACCTCCTACCAGGACCACAATTCCCAGCACAGCCCGCGGCCACAGCGGCCGAAGGCTACGCGAAGCATGCCGGGAGCTGTATTCCGGACGCTACACCGCCCCCCAACGGACCAGGTCCGGGAAAAGAGGTCAGACTACACCTCCCGACAGGCCCCGCGCCGGCGGTGGGTGGAGCCCAGCCCGCGCGGGGCCTGTCGGGAGGTGTAGTCCGGGCACCCCGCCCGCCGTCGGTCCGCACCTCTGCGAGTGGTGAGCCAGGCGAAGGTGCCACAGCGCGCGGCCCAGGCGCTGCTGCTGCAGGAGGAGCTGGCCTGGCGGCTCCCCGGCGCCGCCGCTGGCCGGCGAGCGCAGGCCCATGTTCTCGAAGTAGTGCGCCAGGAAGGCGATGGGCTCCTCGGGCCGCGTCTCCAGCACCTTCAGCAGGGCGGCGCGCAGCATCTCCGTCACGCCGACCTGCCGTAGGAAATCCTCCTCGCTCTCGGCCGCCGCCGCCGCCTGAGACACCGACGACCGGCCGCTGTCCGCGAAACCGGCCGCAGGTGCCACGGCCGGCCGCCGCTTCTCCACGGCCGCCATCTTTGCTGAGGGCAGCGGGGCCGGAAGCGCTGCCATAATTCACGGCGCCGACAAAGCATCCTCCTTGGGCGGCCATTTCTGTTGAGGGCAGAGGAGCGGCTTCCTCTCCGACGGGGTCTCGGCAGGGACAGGCACAGGCTGCCTATCCCCCTGTGCCCTCACCGGCATTCTCCGTTTATGCCTCTGCTGGTACTCCGTGACTGCATCTCTTTACTTCGGTCCGGAGTCATGAGCTTGCCAGACTTCAAAATGGTCCCCCAGGAAGGGCTTGGTTTCTGGCTTGAAGCGCGATTGCTTGCCATCTTGGTAGTGGGCAAATCTTCGGAAGCATGGTCTCCTAGCAACCAGGCTCCCCGGGTACCAGAGAAACCCCATCAAGCGCGCGTGGGGCTTCGTCCACCGGGAATCTGGGACTGAGGGCGGGATTCAGTCCTTTTCTGCCGGGATTTTGGCTTCACTTGGCCTCCTGAAAGGATTAGCTCGCCGGGAGCGAGGCTCCACCAGATTCCCCGCCCTCCCCCAGGCTGTTAGTTACCCTTCCTGACCACTGGGGGATGCCCTTGCTGTAACTGTGTGGTGGCTCTCTGGGACCCTTCTGCCTGCCACCTTCATCCCTTGCCCGCCTCACACCCCGTCTCGGTGTTTGCCCCCCAAGTACGTTTTTTCCCAGGCCGTTGGGCACCTCCTTAGTTGCTCTTAGGAAGCGCAGGCGTTTCCCAGCCTAGCATCCTGCTCGGGCCTGCCAAGATAGACTGGGATGCCCGCCTGTCTCCAGGGCCCCCGGGTGTAGGCCTGAGAGATGCGCAAAGCTTCTCTATTTTACAGCATGACAGGACACAGCAGTGGCCAGGTAGGGGGCCTTTATTCTGCGCCGGGCGAGCAGCGGGAATGAACCTGCAGATGTGCTGACCACCAAGGGAAGGGGCCGCACTCTGACGCCTTGACTGCCCCAAACCCAGCTTCACAGGAGTGTGCATGAGCTGGAGTCTGGGGGAACACGCGGCGCACAGCGTTTCCACAGGCGGTAGGCAAGGAAGGCCAGCGCGAGCAGCCCCAGGACCAAGCTGCCAACCCACAGGGTGATGCCGGAGGCTGGAAGAGTAGGAAAAAGGGTATCATCAGCCCCGGTGCCTGCGACCCCACCGAGGGAACTGTACATCGGCCCTGTGGTTTAAGAGTGGACTCCCCAGCTAATTAATGTGTCTTAAAATTCAACCATTGAAACAGGTGTAGTGGTGCACCCCTGTTATCCCAGCGCTTACGGGGCTGAGGCAAGAGGATCAGCTACACACCAAGTCTGAGGCCAGCCTCAGCCATGTGAAAGCGATCTCACTCTGTAGACCAGGCTGGCCTCGAACTCACAGAGATCCACCTGGCTCCCCCGCCCCCCAGTGCTGGGATTAAAGGTGTGCACCACCACTGTCCCGCCCCAACTATCATTTAAATCCCATATGTCCATCCCTCCCAGGGCCCCAGCACTCACAGGGTTTTGGGAACACCTGACTGGAGATGTACAGACTGGCTATCTGCCCCCCGGGGTCCAGGCGGCACTGGAACCAGCCCTCAGGAATGGGACCTGGGGGAGGCACGCTTAGCCATGCCTGAGCCCCGGCCTCCCTCTTGTGGTAGGCTGCCAGGTTGCCAGGAGCCAGGATCCAGCGCACAGTCACTCCAGGCCCACAGGATGCTTCACAGAGTAGCTGCCAGACTGCCTCCTGGTCCTGGTGGATCTCGGGAGAGCAAGTTCCAGCGGAGCTCAGAGTCCTGGGGCTAAGTGTGGACCGAGGAGGGGCAGACGGCAGGGTTGTGCTGTTGGGGAGCCCAGTGGAGCTGGCCTCAGTCGTGTGTGCTGAGGTCAGGATGTAGGGCTTGGCAGAGGTGGTGTTGGGGGGCTCTGGTGAGGTCCGGCTCTGTAGGACTGCAAACAGAATGTTCTTCTGTAGCCCCTGGCCTCTCTCCTGCCCCAGTTTCTTCATCTGCAGCCCGGTGTTAGGACAGAAACACCCCCCCCCACACACACACCCCTGTCACTCAAGTGACACAGGGCATCACAGTGGCTGGGCCAGGAGATGAAGACACAGACAGAACTTCCTGGGTCCTGTCCGAGTCTACTAGGCCACCGCTTATTTATTTATTTATTTATTTATTTATTTATTTATTTATTTATTTATTTATTATGTATACAGTGTTCTGTCTGCATGTATCCCTGCTGGCCAGAAGAGGGCACCAGATCTCATTACAGATGATTGGGAGCCACCATGTGGTTGCTGGGAATTGAACTCAGGACCTCTGGAAGAGCAGTCAGTGCTCTTAACCACTGAGCCATCTCTCCACTGAGCCATCTCTCCAGGCCCCGCTTATTTATGTATTTATTTTGGTTTTCTGAGACAGGGTTTCTCCATGTAGCTCTGTTTGTCCTGGAACTCACTCTGTAGAACAGGCTGGCCTCAAACTCAGAGATCCACCTGCCTCTGCCTCCTGAGTGCTGGGATTAAAGGCTAGGCCACTGTTTATAAAGCACCTACTGGGTGCAGGTTTCTAAGAGTCTACTTGACTACTGTTTATACAGCACCTATAGTGTGCCAAGTCCTGTGCATCTGCTCGGCCAGCATTTGTAGAACACCTTCTGAGTGCTGGGACCTACCCCGAGTCTGCTTGGCAGTGTTTATCAAACACCTACTGAGTGTTTACCCCATCCTAGTCTTTCAGGACAGACAGGAAATGATGGAGCTGTCATTTTGGAGTTGGCGCAGAATAGGCCCTCATCTTTTGAATTAGTCTTTTTTCTGGCTGCCCCACAGGGCAGATACTGTGACCAGTTCTCTTGGGACTCTCCAGGTGGGGACACACAATCCTGGTTCAAGCTCCAGAGTAGCCAGCTCAGAGGCAGGTGGGCCCCGGGGACTTACCTGGGAGCCCCCTCTTGTGGGTTAGCACCAGATTGGGCAGCTGCATGGTGACCTGGCAGTAGAGGGCAGGGGGGGCAGGGGTCTCCAGGGCGGGCAGCATCCAGCGCTGTGTCGCTCGGAGCAGCGGCGTGCCCTCGGCCTCCTGCGTCTCCTCCTCTTGCTCTGATTCCAGGACCTGGGCCCCCTCCAGCCTCTGGTCTCCCAGTAGCAGGGTGAAGGAGAGGATGTCTGGGTCTGGGGGCCAGATGTTGTGGGCCGTGCAGGACACCTCTTGGTCCTGTCCTGACCAAGACACCACCAGCTGGTCTGGGAAGGCTGCGGATGGAAGATGGGGCCCAGGGCTGAGCCAGGCGGAGGAGGTAGGTTTGGTTGGGGTGATGATGGAGCTCTGTGCCTTAGGTGTCTGGGACAGGAAGGGCGGATGTGTCAGCCTTGTGGGTGTGGGGTGCAGGGACCTGGTGGGTGATGGCATTGGTGTGGTGCAAGGTCCTGATACCCTGGGTAGGTGGCACCTAGAAGGACAGAGTGGGCCTCACCGTACACCACGATCTGCACAGAGTACTGGAAGCTTCGGCCCCCACAGGAGCCCACACACAAACGTGTGCCAGCGTCTGTCAGCAGGCCGTGTATGGAGAGGATGCTGCTGCCCGGGAGGTTCTGCACATTGCCCAGGTGGGTGTCCAGGCCACGCCACTGCACCTGGGCGACACCCTCGTCACAGGGCAGGCTGCAGTTGAGCCGGAGGGATGTGTCTTTGGCCACAGCCACCACAGGATCAGGGGGATCCACATGGAGGGACTGGCCTGAGGGGAAACAACATTAAACTCATGTTGGGGCAACTGGGTTCCAGATTCCAGTCCTGACCCTTGACCCTGGGTTGAGACCCCAGGGCTCTAGACCCCTGCCCCAGGTCCCTGGCCTTGACTAGAGGGCAACTAGAGCCCCAGATCCCCGGGCCAGCCTCTCAAAGCCCTGGGCTTTCAAAGCACCCCCAAAGCTCTTTCTCTTGTGCTCACTCATCTCCCGAAACCCCCTCCCCTCTCCACACCCCTGCTCACCACTGCCAAGCTGGAAGGGCGCCATGGCCAGGGCCAGCAGGAGGACCAGGCTGGACTCCATGTCGTCCCTCTGTCTCGTGACCGCCAAGGGAAGCGGTTTAAATAGCAGCGGGCTGGCGGCTTCCCGCCGTCTTGAGACCCTGCCTCTCCTCCCCCTTCTCCCTACTCCGTGGGAGTTTCCCGGGGGGCTTTCCCAGCCCGACCTCCACTCCGCAGGAGGCAGAGAGTCAGGGACCCGGGAACGCAGGCGGAACGGACGGACGAGCAGGGAAGGTCTGGGAAGGTTCCAGGCCCCAGTTCTATGGACGGGAAGGCTGAGGCTAGAGGCTGGGGTCACCATGGTGGGTCAAGTGCATGGACATCAGCCAGTCCTAGACGGCTCCACCCCGGCCGACTCGAGCTCTGACTTCATTTCCAGAGGTGGCCACACGGGGGCGGCAGAGAGGCCAGACTCGGTTCTGGATGGTGGGGTCCCCTGCGGACGCCCCGCAGTGGGGGTTTCTCCTGGGACTGTTCTACCTGACGTGTCAGTTACCCCTGTCTGTGTCCTTTCATCGCACGAGACCTTGCAGTTCCAGCAGAGCCGGGGGGCTGGAGCTGGCCGGCTTTGGACATGTCTGGGGTAGACCCTGGGCCTCAGCGCTGAGTTCTGTCCCACCTTCCTCCAAGATCGGCACACTGTCCTCCCGTGCTTTGCCCTTGGCCCAGACCCGTATCGAGGGGCACCGGTCTACATATCGACACCCCCAGGGTTGTGCCGCACCCGGAGAAGGAAGGCTAGAGTCCTGGGTCCTTCCTGCCTCAGGCGGCCACAGGACCTTTGCTCCACTGCTCTGCTCTCTCCAGTCTCCAAGAGCCTCCCCCTCCTCTGCCTTCCTAAGGCCCCTGTGGAGGCCCAGTCTTCAGACACTTGAAGTCTGTCTCCACCAACATGGGGAGTGTGCTCTCCTCGGGTTTTGGCAACTTGACATAAGCAGAGCCATTTGGGAAGAGAGAACTTCAGTTGGAGAAAAGGCCCACCAGGTTGGTCTGTGGTCAAACCTACAGACCTTTGGGGGTATTTTTTTGTTTGTTTTGTTTTTCCAGACAGGGTTTCTCTGTGTAGCCCTGCCTATCCTGGAACACACTCTGTAGACCAGGCTGGCCTCGAACTCAAGATCCCCCTGCCTCTGTCTCCTGAGTGCTGGGATTAAAGGCTGCACCACCACCACTCAGCTGGGTTGTGCAGGTGTATTTTTCATCAATGATTGACATGGGAGGGCCCAGCCCATTGTGAGTAGTGCCATCCCTGGGCAGGTAGGTGGGCCTGGGTGCTATAAGAAAGCAGACTGAGCCGGGCAGTGGTGGCGAACTCCTTTAATCCCTGCACTCGGGAGGCAGAGCCAGGCGGATCTCTGTGAGTTTGAGGCCAGCCTGGTCTCTAAAGTGAGATCCAGGACAGGCACAAAGCTACACAGAGAAACCCTGTCTTGAAACAAAACAAAACAAAACAAAACAAAACAAAACAAAACAAAACAAAACAAAACAAAACAAAACAAAACAAAACAAAAGAAAGCAGACTGGGCAAGCCATGGGGAGCAAGCCAGTCAGCAGCTCCCTCCATGGTCTCTACATCAGCTCCTGCCTCCAGGGTCCTGCCTTGGCTCCCCTTCATGAAGGACATGATCTGAAATGAACACTTTCCTCCCTAAGTTGCCTTTGGTCATGGCAGTTTATCACAGCAACAGAAACCCTAACTACACAGGGTGAGACTTTGTCTGCTCCTGCCATGACCCCTGACCCCTACCCAGCCTGCAGACTGTCAGGATCTTCTTAGAAGTAGAAACTGAGGCACCCATGGCAGGGTGTGTGGCAGGTGGAGGCTGGTATCACAGTGGGGAAACCGAGGCACAGAGAGAGTAGAAGACACCAGACTCAGGTGTGTGGACTCAGAACTGTGGCTGCCTGGGTCCCATCCCCCCGCCCCCCTCACCCAGCATGCGCCAGTGCCCGGAAGCTGTGCAGGAAGGTGACTCCAAGACACGGGCCCTTCCCCGGAAGCTGGGCCCTTAACCCGGGTGGGGGGCCGCGGGCTGGTGAATGGGCTGCTTCCCAGCCCCTGACCCGGCTTCCTGCTATGCCATGGCCAGGTGGGGAGGGGTCAGCAGGCGCCTGGCAGGCTGAGGTGCGCTGTGGGCTGCAGGCGTGGTCCCTGCTTTCCTTGAAGATCTCAAAGGACACTCTGGCTCCACCTGCAAGACAGTGGGGCATCCTGTTCACGGTGGGGGAGAGCGAGCAGGAGCCCGAGCCACAGTGCAGAGGGGACAACTGTGGGCCAGCCAGAGGGGGGAGGAGGAGTGGGGAGACCAGGAGAAAAGGAGGGGCGGGGCGGGGAGAGGGACAGAGAGGGGACACACAGAGACAGAGGACAGAGAGGGACAGAGACAGAGAGAGACAGTTCAGAAAACTAGGAAACAGAGACAGAGGGAGGTGCAGAGGCACAGGCAGACACAGTGAGGGCCTGGAGTGCTGGTGGCTCAGGGGCTGTCTGTCCCCACTGGGGCTGTCTGTCCCCACTGGGACTGTCTGTCCCCACTGGGGCCAAGGGCCAGTAGGACTCTGTTGTGCTCTCCGTGGCCCCCGGGCACCTCCTGTCCTTCTCTGCAAGTCCAGGGCCCGACCCCCCTTCCCGCCATTGTCCTACAAGAAGGAAGTCCTCCTGGCGTCACAGGAAGCCCCCCTCTCCACAGAGGTCCAGCCTTCTCAGGAGACCTGACATCCTGGCTCCCCTGCCTACAGCGCGAGGAAGGTTCCAGAAGGTAGCCTTGCTCCAACACTGGCCCTTCCGCTGGCCCTCACTCACTCATCAATCTTGCATGCTCACCGTTCCTGGCTCCTTCAGAGTGGTTTCCAGAGGCCAGGGTGGCAAGAGACTGGCTGGGGTCCCTGGCCCGGGGTGGTCTGGCCCTGTGGAGCATGAAGAGGTGGGGGCCAGCTGGAAGTTGGACTTTGAGAGGACAGTGTCAGGGGCTGGAGAGATGGCTCAGTGGTTAAGAGCACATACTCCTCTTCAGAGGACCTGAGTCCTAAGCACGCAGGTCAGGTAGCTCTGTAAATCTAGTTCCAGGGGCATCCAACGTTCTCTTCTAGCCTCTGAGGTCACTCAAACTTAGATGCACCCCCCCACCCCGTACACATAGATACAGAGCTGTCAGGGCGATGGTGGCTCACGCCTTTAATCCCAGCATTCAGGAGGCAGAGGCAGGTGGATCTCTGAGTTCAAGGCCAGCCTGGGCTACAGAGTGAGTTCCTAGACATCCAGGACTATGTAGAAAGGCCAAAATTAAATAAATATTAAGCAAACAGATAAAAACAAACAGACAAAAAGGAGGTGGGTGGAGATATGGCTCATAGGCTAAGAGCACTGGCTGCTCTTCCAGAGGACCCTGGCTCTGGTGTTGTGCCAACATCGCAAGACCCCTGAGCAAGACCACCACAGAACCAATATCTGATGTAAAACACACAGGGGTTTATTGATAACAAGCAAGCCCAGGCTTGATCTGTGTCCAACACACTGGCTAGCCAGGTGGAGGAGGACGGCCCTGAGCTCTCAGGGTGAGGGGTTTTTAAAGGGAAAAACCGCAAACAGGGTGGCACAAGCCTTTGCATCATATGATTGGGTGAGGGGTGTGACCTTTGAATTTACTGGTTGGGGGTTACAGTTATCATTTTGGGACAGGCCTGGACAAGTCCCAGGCTCTGTCCTTGAGCTGCCATGGAGGCTGGCTGGCCTCACACTTTGGTGAGGGGTCCCAGACAGTAAACAACTGGCTGAACCTTGAGCAGTCAGAGTACGTGCAGAAAGGGAGCTACTGCAAGGACTATGTCATGGCCCTCCCAGAGACTGCTTGCTCAGTCTCAGGAAACTGAACTTGAGGCCTGATCTCTGAGAGAAGACTGAGCAGCCTGTTATGGCATCTACTTAGTCCTTTCATTCCCCCTTCGAGTGGTGTATCATCTCCAACCTTGGAGGTGTTTTGTTTTGGTAAAAGACTTTATCACCAGGGTATTAGATAATTTTGGAGACTAACTGGACCAGGATGTAAGAGGTTTTCCATCATCAACGGCAAAGTGAGCCTCCCCTTACTCGGTTGTTGCCATCTGCAAGTGTGTCATGGGTTCAGGGGCTGATAGTGGGATTCTAGCATCCTCAGTTTAGTGGTACCCAGACACGAATCATCATTGAGTTAAGACATCAGTGACATAAGAGCCAACAGTAATTAGCAGAAGCAGAAGGGCCAAACCCTGTGATGGCTGACAGAGTTCCTTATCCTGAAGGAACTCGGAAATGAGAATGGGGACCAGTTATTATTTTATCTCAGGTCCCCTATGACAAGAAATTCCCTTTTGATCTAACATTCCGGGGGTGGGGGGACGGACAAGAGTGATGTTTTCTCTTCTGTAATTACTTCCTGCTGACCTTGGGACATTGTTGTCAGGGCCCTGGAAAGCCAGAATGTTAACATTTTATTGACCAGCTGAAGAGATGGCATGTATATCGGCTGAACTGGTCCATATCAGCTTTCAGCAAGTTCAGGGCTCGTCAGCAAATGATGCTTGGATGTGTCTGTCAGCCAAGTGGAAACCTGTTGAGAAAGATATAAACTAGGAACAGGAGTTAAAATTTATGAACTTCAGAACCATAGTCTGGGTAATTGTAGTATTATCAATTTGCCCTGAAATCCAAATCCATACTGTCTTTTCTATCTAGAGAGCCAGGTATAGATTAGACTGAAATGTTTTTGGCCTGATGAAAAGCATCTATAAGTCTATATTTAGAACCAGTTTCTCTCTCTCTCTCTCTCTCTCTCTCTCTCTCTGAGACTTAGTAGCTTTTAATTAATTAATGCATTGATGAATTAATTAATGAAGTGGCTGCAACCTTGTGGAAGGTTGTCTGATGTTGCTAAGCTGACCAAGTTATAGCTAGCCCAGTCATCAATGCCATCAGAGATCCGAGAAGATAAATTTTACCTGAGTGCAGACTTCCAAGTCTATTAAAAAAGACTATCCATTACCCAGACCGCCATCACCCCAGGCTCCTGTAGTCTTCACAGCGTTGGCAGGACAGGTGTCAGGACAGCATCAGTCTTGACGGCCGGGCCCATAACATGGAAGTTCTCCTGTGGAGGAGCAACTTGGGAAAGACTGATCTTATCTTGTCAGTGTCTCATTTGTCCATTCTGGGCCGGATCCCTGGCAGCAGGGGTTGAGTCGGGGCATCTTGCCCAGTGGTCGGTGCTGTCTGCAATTCAGGTGGAGTCTTCTTGTCGTTGTTCCATATCTTCTTTGGAGACTTTGGGAGTCATTGCTAGGAGCTAGGAGTCTCTGTTCGCTATAGTAAGC